AGGTGCCATATGTCCTCTAGAAGTGCCTCTATAGGCACCAAACTGATATTCTATTTCAACTTTTCTCAATTCAATCTACAGTTAGGGAAGCTTAACCTAAAAAAACAAAGAAAGAAAAAAAACTAGCTTGGATGAAACTCTTTTCAAAAGGAGAACCAGTTTGGAGTCTCTAGATTGAAGCATTTCATGGATTGTGATATGAAAAAGAAAAATGCCTTTCTTTTTGTTGAATCTCATTGTGAGGCAGCGATGATTCCTCAAAACATGTTTCTGTATTCTAGATTGGCTGCAAAGAGCAACATACTACCTATATATGTAGAGAGAGATGGGAAACAGTTTTTGTTGTCAATTGAAATTTGCTGGTTCACATGAAAGTTCAATAGACCATCACAGCAACAACAGGATTTGGGAAATAATCAACACAAGTATTATGAAACTTGCGTTTGATTTGGGGGTTTGCTGTGGAGGAGAGGTAATGCTGATGTTGGTAGTAGAAAAACTTATGGACAAATGGCATTAACCTTTTATTGGATGAAAGGGCCTATTATGGGGCGGGGACAGTTTGGTGATGCCAAAGTTGGCTGGAAATGGATTAGAGTTGACAGGGGGAGGTTCAACAGTGCGTTTCTTCTTATTTTTCTTCTTCTTCTTCTTCCTTTTTTATTTTTTATTTATTTTTAAATAGTATGCTAGTATTTTCTTGAGCTTTTGGCTCGAACCTTTGGATAATGATCATGGGTGATGTCATTATGGTGTTGGCTTGGAATTTGCATCTAGTTGTATTGCTGTTGCTTGGTTTGGAATTTGCATCTAGTTGTACTGCTGTCGCGTGTGTTAATAAGGTGTGGATTTTGAGGATTGATGATTCCAGTTCCACCTCTATGTTGTTATAATATTCTTCTCTGACAATGATATTGTTAACCTTACTAGATTGTCTAGTGGTTGCAGCCCTACATGCACGTACAATATATCTTCTATCTTGTAATATTGTGACTAGTTTTACTTCATTTTGTTTAAATTTTGTTCTCGCTTAAGTTTGTTGGGATAGTCGTAGGTTATTAGAATACTGGATTTATTAGTGTTACCAAAGCATTTCAGTCTTGTATGAATATTCTGTATTGAAGTTTTACTTATTCTTTGAGCAAATTGTACAAGTTTGGTACTGGGGCTTTTACACAGATTCCATGGAAGAAGAATGTGGATGATAATGATTAGCATTCAATTTCAGGTCGAGAACTAGTATAACAAGATAATTTGATATATGAAAGTCTGAAGTCCATTGCTTCTTTGTTCAATGAAGCTTGTAGTTGCTGTTACTGATGGGCCACTGACCACTTCTATGTTTCTCTAGCTGGTGGAAGATGGGTAAATATTATGGTCAAAGTAGGAGAGTTGATGCTTTTTGGGCTTATTTAAAGCAGGTTTTGCTTACTTGAAGATGAGCACGGGTTGTATAATTTTGGAAATTGTTGGTGTGTGGGACACATAAGAACAAAAGGTCATCTTGCATGACTTGATTGTGTGATCTTTTGACTTCATGTCATGCTAGTCAACTTATATTTGTGATGGAATAGGTAGTGAGATTCTTGTTAGAACATTACAAGACAAAGTTCTTTGTGGAGTTTTGAGTCTTTTCAGTGAGGGGTTCAGATGAGTAGTCTGCTATGCATAGCTTTTAAAGAGGTGGATTAAGTCTGTTAATTGACATGTGCATTGGTATGACACTACTAGAAATTTTTTTGCAAGATAGGCACAACATTAGGTGCAGATTCCAATTTGGTAAATGTTGTTATTGAAATGAAATAGTAGAAGTGGACACATTTGCGCCTATAAGTGGTGAATAGGTCAAACTTTTGATTATGTTACCGATTTGAAATTACTGAATAGTGGATTAATTAGTTCAGTGTACAAATTCATCGTGCCGATTCAAATATCTCAATCTATCACACAAATCGTAATAAATAAAGTGGACACACGATTTAAGTGGAAAGCTCTTGGGAAGAAGAGAAAAACTATGGGCACACCTAGCTGGTCAAAATGTAAGAGACAAACGTGTGATATCTTAGCTTTTGTCTGTTGCCCCTCGTGCGCTCAAGCTGGATTCGAACATGCTTAAGGGGGAACTTTCTGGATCTTTGCTGAATATGATCTTGGTCTAACTCGAGTGGCCTTTGGGCAGGTCTACTAGACTTGGGTATTTTAGTCCTGTGTTTCACTTTTCAATGCTAAAATCAACTGCAATATTTAAGGGTCAATCAGGTCAATTTTTGTATTTAGAAACACGTCCTAACTCTAATGCAGTATGCTCATGCTAATGGAGTGATGATTGCGTCAATGATGCTGGTCTTCACACCGTAACACTTTCAGAGACACACTTGACGTGTCAACCCATTACAATCAAGACCAATCTCTTACAACTAATTTCAAGTTTTGAATTATAGGAATTTCAACGCCACACTAAATACTATTAATTTAAGAAAGTGATATTGTCAGTCAATGTGAATGAAGTTGCAAATCATTGGTTGTTAGGGAGAGTTTTCAGTTCTAAACTACTACTTGTTGCAAGTATGGGTTGTATTGTATTTGATGAGGCAAGCCGAGTATTGGTTGTAAAAGGTTGGTTTGACAAGTTTAAAGCATGATCAGGCTTGGCTGATTTATCTTTTGAGTTAATCTTGACATTCTTCTAAGTTCTAACCAAGCTAATTACATTTAAAGTTTTTTATAAGTGCTAGCCAACCAAGCTAATTATGTGTCAAGCTAAGAGTAGCTTTATTTTCTATATTATCCTAAAGAGCTTATTAACTTATCCCACTGAACTCAATAAATTGATGAACTTTACAATATGGTCAAACTTCACTTGTTTATCTAATGAATTGATTTCAAGTGAACTCTTCCTCAGCCAAGCTCAAGAATATCTCAAGAAGCTTGGTTCATTTTATAACCTTGGAGGCGGATTGGTAAAAACATTGAAAGAGTTTCATGAGAATGCTCAATGCAGTGTTTTTTCAAAAGCTCTAGGCGCATCGAGGCACTAAGGTTTTGGGGAGCCTAAGCATGAGGTACAAAGCGAGGCGTGCACCTCACCAAATCAAGGCACAAGTTGTAGAAAATAAGCAAATATTTCTAGAATTTCAAAAATTATAGATCAACATTCAATATTCTAAAAATCATAAAACTAGCATTCAACATTCCGAAAAATTCTCAAAACTAACATTCAACCTTACTTTACCCAATACTATAAGTCTTCCTTCATCAATTTATTGATGTGGTTCACCTTTTTTTTTTATTTTTTTTTTATTTAAAAAGAAAAAAAGAAATAACTTGCACCTTGTGGTAACTTAGTAGTTTTAATTTTAAACCAGGACCAAATTGCCCGATTGACTCAAAATTGTCATAATTTACTACATTGAAAGGAGTCTCAAATTCATATATGATATATCCATCTTGCAATCTTAGAGCTTATCCTAGAGATTTTGCTCAATGACTAGGGCCTTTTTTTGATATGAAAATTGGGGCTCAAAGCATGTGTTTGCATTTTATAAGGGTAGCAATTCCCTGCAGATACACATACAAAGAATAATGCAGGAGCAAAAATTTAAATGAAATGCATAGGTGTGTGCCTCGGTTGCAAAAATTTAAATGAAGTGAATGAGTGTGCCTCGCGCCTCAGATGCGCCTTTTCTACAGCGCCGCGCTTCAAGTTGTCTGAGGCGCCTTAGGTGTGCCTTGCGCCTAAGCGCAAGCGTGCGCTTAGGCGCACCTTTTAAAACACTGGTTCAATGGATTGATTGCTCTTAAAAACTAGTCATAAAAATAATTGTCCGTGGTTGAATACATATCTCTGTTATTACCAAACATTGAACCAGTTAAGGTATTAAGTTAAAAGAACTTGAATTAAGGTCTGGAGGTATGAAATATTGTATAAACAATTTGATCACAGTTGTGAGCAATGTGAGCGACTAGCTAAATGCTGAGGAGTTATAAATGCTAAATTGAACTAGGCGTTGTCCACCCATGGGAAACTTGCATTGCCAGATCATTTAGGCGTACTCAGTTGTATGGTATATTAGGAATGTTTGATATGTTCGTCTTCTTGAGATTTAAAGCGTAGCTGATGAAATGGCTTGGTAGCAAAAGTTAGTAATTTATTGTCGAGGTACCTAACATTGTCTTTATCCTCAAATTGGTAATTTTGTTATCGAAATAGTAGATATTGAAGTCAAAACTCAGTCCTTTCTTTTTTGTTTATTTTTATTTATTTTTTAATTATTAATGTTTGCTGGCCGTTTCCTTTCCTAAATGGTGGTTTGGAATGGCAATTTATGTGGATATGCCTTTCATTTACCGAGGTGTACAAAAATCAAGGGAGAAGCTACATTATCATATCTTGTTTGTGGATTTCACCAGGGTCTGACAGTCATACTTTTCTAGGGTTGACGTGAATCATATGAAGTTTCCCAGCATCGTAGTTTCTCTTGAATGTTAAATATCTCGATTCCTATATTGCTTTTGGATATGGATATGGATATGGCTGTGGTTGAACCATGTACATTCCTTATTGCGATTTTGTGGTCATTTATTTTTTTATTGGGTCAATTGGTAGGAGAGTCTTTACAAATATGAGATGCATTATATCAAAGACAATTAAAGTCCAACTCCTCTAGCCCAATCTTGGGCAGAAACAAACGACTACATAGAACTCCCATAATGGGAGGAGAAATAAACACCACAAAAATATCAAACTTCTCTCCATATGAGTTGAACGCGTAAAGTCTCTCTATAAAGTGTGCTACACAACCACTAGGATATCTTACATGATATTTTGCATTTTTGTGTGATTGATTATTAATGACATGAATTATTTGCAGTAGTTATAATCTTTTCTTTTTTGTTGATAAATATGCAGTAGTTATAATCTTTTAGATTCCTGAATGAACTTTGTAATTTTTTAAGATTAGAGTACATTAGATTTATCTGTTTTTACTGTCATTGTGTAGGATAATGATCTTTGAGCAAACCAGAATTCATTACACTATAAGTCAATTTGACAACTTTCTTAGCTTGTGTGGATTTAAAATATTTTCTTCCAATTTCAACTTTGCAGTGGTTTCCAGAATCACCATTATTGGCATTTATTCAGCCAGTTTCTTTCTAATTTTGGCAGTCTGCATTGAGTACCCAATTGGGGAGTAGTACTGGAATACAGTTTGTGCTTTGGCTTATGCTCCCATTTAGGTATTATTCTCCTGAACCAGGTGCTAGTGGCAGAAATGAGGTCAAGAGACATGTGCATATGTTTAGTTCTTATAAGAAGGTAAAGCACTTACAACAAGTGAATAAACATGTATCGAGGTAGGCTGATGTACACCATAACTCATGACAATGCTAAATTCAGTAGGTTTATGATTTGTTTGACTAGAGTGTTTACATATATTTCAATGTACGGTATTTGATTTGAGTTTTTTTATTTTCTGAGATGTTTAGTTCATATAAGAAGGTAAAGTTCTTGTAAGTGAATAAACATGTATTAAGGTAGGCTGATGTACACCATAAATTGAGTATTTACATATATTTCAAGTGTGTCATATGTGACTTAAGCTTTTAATTTTCTGAAAGTTGAGCGTTCATGTTACTTTAGTTCTAGGTGCTTTAACTTTCTAATCATTTAATCTCATTATGCGAGTGTATAATCTAGGTGTCTATATTTATATGCATGTAGGTCAGTGTCATTGCCTTTTTAATTTTGGGCAGTGATATGACCCTTCATAGTTCATGGGGATGCTCTGAACTTATAGATTCTTTAGCTAAAGCTTATTTGTGGTTCTCATTTTTCTCTTCCTTTCTGATTTCAATAATTTGTGCTTGTCATGTGTTCTGGTTTTTGCAACTAACTTCTGCAGCTTGTTGGGTCGTGCGCTGCTATCTGTTACATGGCGATTTGGGTTGGATACACAGACATGCACTTAATCTTTGGTGTTTCTATGACTTTGGAGCGTGTGGCTCAGCAGGGAGAGCTGAATAATCAGTTGAAGCAGTAGCTCTGGAAGTTCTAGGTATGCTATTCCAGTCTATATCTCTCTACCAATGATAGGAATTGCCACTTCTTTTGTAACTGACTTTAGATACTCAGTATGATAGTTTTATCAGTTTCTCATCCTTAAGATGTTCTAGCCAATTCTTATTCAAGCTTTGAAACTTGATGTTGTTGATGAATATTTTTTTAGATTGTGAATGTTTTATTCATTTGCTTGCTTAGTGCTCATGTTATAGGGCTGTAAACAAGCGAAGTCATGCCAAGTAGTTGGTTATTCAAATTTAGCTTGAAAAATGAACCAATTTCAAAATGAGTTCAAGTTTGACTTGTTTACCCTTTAACATGTGTTAAAGCGTGATTTGTTCACATACCAAGCTAATCCCAAAGCTGTCTCGTTTTATAGTATTAGATGTGTTCACTGAATGGTCACGGTGATCTCAGCCATTCAAGTCTTTTCTGGAAAAAAAGGAAATTTAAATAATTTTAAGAGTAGTTGGGCCATGTATCACAGGTAAAAGTGTTTCCATATAACGTTATGTGCTCACTGTGGTGGATGACAAAAGTGGAAGCTGAAAGTTAATAGTTGATTGCTATTTGCATTCTGTCATATGTTATATTTCAGTCTCTGCATATGCAATCAATTAGATGTATTATGCTTTTGTTACTGATGAAAAGTCACTTCTCTCCCACCCTCCAATAGTAATTAAATTAAATTAATGGATATTTGTACTTTTCAAAGTACCCTTTGTTATTGTCTGCTGGCTTTTCTTCTCCTTTATTTTATTTTATTTTATTTTTCGAATGATATTCAGTTATGTAACATGTTCAAAACCCAACTAAATTAATAATAAAAATTAGGAAGTAAATCTTTTTCAGTGAGGCTCAAATTGGTCTCGTTTGGCATGTAATAGCATTAGCTTAAAAGTTAAAAAGTATTAAAAAATTTTTAAAAGTCTATAATTTATACGAGAAAGCCAATTTTTTTTTTTTGACTTTTTGTATATTTTTTTGTAAAAAATTAATAAGTTATTCCAAACATATTAATTTTTTTATCTCGTATTTTAATTAAAAAGTTAAAAAATTATTAAAATAGTCTATTTTTAAAGGAGGCTTAAATTGATCATTGCAGTTAGAATTATAGAATGAATCTAGGGATGTTTGGGAAGAGGGTTGGGTTAAAATAGTCTATTAAAAGGTAAAATAAGTTAAAATGGTCAATAGTATAAAATATCATATTTAGTTTATAATCATTTTTTTTTTTTTTTTACAATCATCAAATTAATTATAAAAAAAGCAAATTAACTTTTCCTACACAATTTTTTTAATCAAATTAAAATAGGTAGAAAGCAATTAAAATAGTTTACTTCTCAAACAAAGCCAAGCAAGAGATATTAATCAAAGAAATTCAACCCCAAGATATATGTGTGTATATATATATATATTCCAGAAACTGAATTTCAAAGGAGTCTACGGAGAGAAAAGTACTAAGCCAGTACGGTTTATTAATGCACTTATGCTATCAAGAGTTATAGTTTGATATATATTGAAAAATAAATTTATTTAAAAACTTAGTTTGTGTTTAGTGTAGCTTTGAAAACTTAATTCCATCCCTTCATTTGCATGCATTGTTTGAATGGAGTTTTAGAATTGTGATTATATCACACATTTCAAAATATATTTCTCTTTTTGTTTGGCTGCTCTCTTTCTTTCTTGTTCTCTATTCTAAAAACAGAAGATTTTTAAATTTTGGGTCTATTCGGTCATCTACCCGAACATTTCCCGAATGTCCGGCCGGTTGTCTAGCTAGTTAATTAGATTAGTGTTTATGTTTTTTTTTTTTTCTTAATTTTAATCAAAATTTATATTTTAAATAAAAAATATATTGAAATTTTTTTAAAAATTTTTATGAGCTTTAAAATAGAATTTTAGATTGTGTGTTTGGTTGTGAGTTGTAAATTTTTAAATTAAATATCATGTCACATCACTCAATTTAAAATTTATAACCAAACAAATTTTTCTCATTCAAATTATAATTTTAAAATTCACAAATTCAAAATGTAATTATATTTTCAAATCATAATTTTAAAGTTTCAGTAAACGCAACCTTAAGCTTTCTCAACAATGGTGATCTAAATTATGAAACCGCATAATCAAATATATATCATTTTGGGGTCGGAAGTGCCTTCTCCATCAGTTAGAAAAGTAAATAAAAACAAAATAAAATGAACAAAGAAAAATAGATAACAAAACTCACTGGGAAATAGATAAAAGAGAGAGGGCGGAGAAAAAAAAAAGTTTATGAATACAAAAACAGATCACAAAAAATATATCAATGGACAAGATTTTGAAACTGTGTAAAATTTTGTCCATTCATTTATGCTATATATCTTATAATGTGATCAATTTTTAGTTTTGCACTGGAATTGAAAAACAAGAAGGGGGTTGCATAATTTAACAATGATACAACATGTGGGATTCGATTAAATAAATGGGGCAACTTTTGTTTTTTTGGGGATTTATGATAAAATGAAACAAATAAATAATTAAGCACTCCTAGAATAGTGTAGGACCATGACGTGATCAGTGGTTGAGGAGTCTGGAAGCAAAGTGAGTGCGTTTCTTGGACTCCATATGTTGTCTCTAACATGCTGCAAAGTCAAGAATGGTAGAAGCTGTTGCCCTCTACATGTTATCTCTATCTGCGCCTTCCCCACAACAAAACATTCATTAGTTGATTATAACACTTGTTTGTGTTAAATAGGTAATAATGGAGAAATATATTGGATTTTCCCTAGTTTGACATCCAATTGGAGAGATTCTGCTGGGCCTCGGTTGTTGGGCCTTATTGCTCCTATTTCAAATCAAAATGATCACATTATATTTGTCTTACAAAAATAGATTATTTATTCTTAAAATCATATTTATTGTCCATTTTATAAGACAAATTTTATTCGATCATATAATTATTAATATCTGATCAATTTAATTTTTTATTTTTGTTTGATATATATATATATATATATATTTTAATGTTATAACATAAACTATTTGAATCACGAGAGTAGATCTACAGAGTCCAATAAATCCTCTTAGGTTGGATGTCTAACCAAAGATATATTTTCAATGAGAAAGTTGATAAATTATAGATTATCACGTCCATACAGATATTACTTAATTAAACTCTATTGCTACGGTCACGAATTTATCATATTTATTTGCAATCACAGATATAAATAAATATAGATGTATTTTAGTAATTGAGAATTTCATGGTGAATATACACTTATTGTCACACGTATATGTATATATATATATATAATTAATGATTAAATGTGATGATACCCTATTTATCGTTTAAACATGTAAAGGACAAGCAACGATTTCTATAAATCACAATTACATGTTGATTCTATGGGCAAACATACAAAATGAAAGGGGTTAAAAATCACAATGATAGCAATCATCATCATGGTGTACATGTTTGATGAAACATGTCACGCAGCTATTGAACTCGAAATCTAGATGATCATGCAGATCACTTTAAAATGATCATTAATGATCATTAGAGTAATCACTAAGATATGCTTTGGATGAGCACTTGCACAATCTTTTTTCATTATAAAAGTGGCTACTTCCTCCTATGGACCCCTAGAGACGTAAAGATTCCTAAAACTCTACTTAATAGGCTCTAAGTACATGAATATCTCCTCTCACACCTTTACACTTGACACTCCGTTTGGATCGTTTAAAAAATAAAAAAATAAATAAAAAAATTGATTATTCACTTAAATGAGAAAAGGCAAAAAAAAAATATTATAATTTCTCACTATTATATTTGAATGAATAAAAGAAAAAAAAAATATAATTTCTTACCTATCTTGTTTGGATACAGTATGAGAAGGGGAAAAAAATGTTAATTTTATTTTATCAAAATAACCTTCAATATTAATAAGTCCTGTTTTTTTATGAGGGAGATTTTTGTTTTTATTACAAGTTTCATTAAACCTAATTCTTTTGCCACTAAAGCTCACCACTTTTGGTGAGAAACAAAACATAGATTTGATGAGAGTTGATTTTTCACTATCTCTCTCCTAATTTCTCACTATTTCTCATCCTATTTAACCATCTAAATAAGTAAAGGATTTTTAATTCTATGAATAAAAGAAAAAAAAATATAATTTCTTACCTATCTTGTTTGGATACAGTATGAGAAGGGGAAAAAAATGTTGATTTTATTTTATCAAAATAACCTTCAATATTAATAAGTCCTGTTTTTTTATGAGGGAGATTTTTGTTTTTATTACAAGTTTCATTAAACCTAATTCTTTTGCCACTAAAGCTCACCACTTTTGGTGAGAAACAAAACATAGATTTGATGAGAGTTGATTTTTCACTATCTCTCTCCTAATTTCTCACTATTTCTCATCCTATTTAACCATCTAAATAAGTAAAGGATTTTTAATTCTTACCATTTCATTTCATTTCATTTCTTTTCTTTTATTACCAAACCCCTCTATCCAAACAGAGTGTAAGTTACTCACTCTCTTCACCATTACCATCCACTGCCACCACTTGCCACCATGCTGACCACCTTTGCCATCAACCACCACCGCCTCTTGCCTCCCTTATCTCTTTCCTTCTCACCTTTACACTTAGCCACTCGCTTCACCATCAACATCTACTGCTACCATGCTGACCACCCTCCCTTCTCCTCTCTCTTCTTCTCCCACTTAAAAATTGGCGCCACCTCTCCACCTTGCCACCCTCGATACCCCCATTCCCTCGCCTCCCCACCCTTGATGCCCCCACCATCTCAAATAAGGTGTTTCTCTTTCGGCATTAATTCATAAAAATTAAAATTGTTATACATATTCTACAATGCATACTTCTATAATAAAAAAATATAGAAAAATTTACTCCCTCATTAATTCATAAAAAAGCAAGTACAATTAATTTAATTTTTCTAACAAATAAATTTAATACATTCATTAACAAAATTTACATCCTCCGTTCCAAAATATTAATCCCTTATTCAATTTTTCATTATTTCAAATTTTGAAAAAATAATTTTTTTAAAGTACAATAATTGTACTATCAAAAAAAGTTAAATTATCTAAAAGTGACTATTATTTTAGGATGGGGAGTGTAATATTAAATACCATAGAAATATATATATATGTATATATATGTATTTTTATTTTTTATTTTCTTTCCTCTCACTTGAAAAATAGTGCAGCATTGAAGTCATGCTTTGTTATAAGCTTACGTCTGTCCATTCTTCCACTGCATCATATTTCTCCTTAACGTCTACTTTACCTATCATATTTCTCTCTATTTTTATCTCCACAAATAGTATAAATCTATCCCAAAATTAGATATAAAATATATATAAATGAATATTTTTTTTTTAAATATAAATCTTAACAACAAATTTTATTTATATATATTTTATGTCCGATCAACGATCAAATTTCTGTATTTATAACAAAATAATTTTTAACTCTAGGGCTGCGGCTGCCTGCTCTATCCCACGATTGAAAGTTGCACAAGTTTAATCATTACCGGACCCACATCGCTTTGCTACTAAGCCAACCAAAATCATAATACCATAGACTTTAGTCTTTTATCATATATCTGTATATTATAGTGCAAGTAATATTCTATACATATCAATGTCATTTATCTATATGTATATATGTATATGTATAAGGTTAGGTTTTTTGGGGGGATATGTTTACTCCCTACCTTTATCCTTTCGTAGTTATCCATATTCTTTTTTAGACTCTAATTCGGATTTACATTGATATTGATATCATCTATCTAGTAAATTTCACAATAAAGATAATTTATAGAAAAAATTAATTTTATCAGACATCTATAAATATAAGAATAAATCATATTTGTTTTATAAAATGAATGGTAAATATGATTATAAATTTAAACTCTCAATTTTATAAAATAAAATGTGATTTGTTTCATTATTTATAATTGTCTGATAAAATTGATTTTTTATTTTTTATTTTTTGCATGAAAAACCTTTATTAGGAGGTCTTCAAAGTAGCCTGTTTGGATTATCTGTGCTGCCTACCAGGGTGGGAGCCCACAAAATTGAGAATGGACAAGTATGAAAACATGAAGTATGGAGAAGAGTTTATAATTTTTTTTTCCCAATCTAGACAGTGGCTGTTGTTTAGATGTATGGGTGCACCACGGATCCCGATATATATTTTTTAGTCATAAATGTGATAAATCCAAATCATTAAAACAGGACCTCATGATAGATTCACGAGTTAAAACAGTATCCTCAAACTCAAATCTTAATTGGAGGGCAGCCAAAACCTATAATATATCGAGACATTTATTAATCAGTCTTATTAATTAAGTTTATTTACCTACAAGTCCTAACTAATAAATTTATTACTATAAATTTATTCATAAAAATAAGACAGACTGATAATAAATAATAAGTCTAAAAAATAAGACTTATGGATAATTTATGCTCGTATCTCATCATAGTTGAATGAAGAGGTAACGGATCCAAAAAGCCCGGCGAGAGATCAGCACGATTTAACTTACTTTTTGTTTTCAAACCTAACCTAACCTAACCTAACCTAAGTTATTATATATATGTATGTATGTATGTATGCACACAATATCGTCATATATTCTAAACTTATGCACGTCCTATTCACGTTGCTTTCTCTCTCTTTCAATAAACCCTAATATTAAGGTTAATATTCCCACTTCAACTACCACCCTTGATTTATTTATTGTTCTTTCATTGATTGTATTTGCAACTTATCGAATTCATCAACATAATCAAAATCATACACAACTCTTCCATTATGAAACCCATCTTAAATTATTCATTTTAAATATTTGAGGTTGTCTGATTATAGGTTTATGGTTCAAGTTTATAGAGGAGCGTCTAATGTTTTTATGTGTTAATTAAGTTACTAACATGTTAACATTTTATTTGAAGCCATTTTTTTTTTAAAGGTTGTGTTGTTTTAAGAATTGTTATGACCCTGAATATAATCTGACCAAAGTTTCTTTCTCTAATGGGGGTCGATGTTCCAATCATTGTCCTTGTTCTTTTATATATTGTGCATGCATTCCATTCACACATTAAATAATTTGTTTATAATTATAAATATTTATAACTATTTTATCTATCCAATAATCACAGTTATTTATTTTATTCTTTTTAAACAACTTGGAATGATTCTGTTGTAGTGTTGTAGATTTATCCCCTCATGCATTGCTTTCCTCCCACGTAAAATATGACTTTATTTTTTAATTTTAATTTTGTTTTTTTTGTTTTCATTTAGTTTTTTGGTTGGTGTTGTGATTGTGGATGAGATGAGATGATGGTGCCTTTTTAATTCCATCAAAGTGCACCACTACATAGGATGAACCCCTTTTTTTATAAAGCACAATAGGGTAAAGAATGTGAAGGGCCTACTAGCCTACTACATAGCTGTCGGAAAGATGAGCCGAAATAAGCGAAAGCATGACGAAATATACGGAGGGAATAATAATTTTACTATAAACACAAAAATTAATCATAGAAATATACATAGAATAAGTAAGATTTTACAAAAAAAAAAAAAAAAAAAAAAAAAAAAAAAAAAAAAAAAAAAAAAATGAAAAAGAAAAAAGAAAAAAAAAGAAGGAGTTGTGTGTGAGCAGGTCGCGAACCACT